CCTTTAAGACAGATCATCATCACAAGAGGATAACAAGGACAGCACTGAGAGGGTCAAAAAAGGAGGGGCATGGTGTCCAGGTGGGCGGATCAGAAAGGGACATGTGCTTATTTCCGGACCCCCTACCCACAGTGGGCCACAGTGAGCAAGGGCAGCATCCGTTGTTTTCTGGCCTGGCGCAGAGAAGGGAGTCAGTAGCTGCTTACTGGGAAATCAGTGACTGTGGACCTAGGTTCATCTGAGACGTTTCCGTGGAGCCAGTGGATGTGTAGAGTAGAGAAGAGGGCGGGACCCATTTCAGGAAACCCCAGCAGGTCAGCGGGCTGAGTTTGTGAACGTTGGTGCTTCCCACGGCTTTGGGTGTGCTCTCTTCGATCCCCTACTAGAGAAGGCACATATATATATAAATCTTGAAACAAACAAGCAAACAGAAAACAATGACAACAACCCATACCTTCTCCTCCATCACCCACACCGGATCTGTGCATGTGGGATTGGGTGCGGTCAGGCTTGGTGTGCTGAATGGAACAGCCATGTGAACCACTCTTGGTTTCAACAATTAAAGTGACTCGGTCACCCTGATCAGCGTGGCTCAGTGGGTTGGGCGCTGCCCCCCAAAGCAAAGGTCACTAGTTTGATTCCTCGGCAGGGCATATGCCTGGGTTGTGGGTCCTCTAGGCAGGGAGAGTAAGAGAGGCAGCAGAGTGATGTTTCTCTCCCTCTACTTCTCCTTTCCCCTCTCTCTAAAAGTAAATAAGTAAAATCTTTAAGATAAGTAAATAAAAATATGTTGGATCAGATCATGTGGCTCAGGAGAGAGAAGACTGTGTTGTCAATATCACTAGGGTATCACAGCGTCATGTGTGCTACCTGGGCAATGAGCCCAAGCACCCACGCGAGGTCACCGTGTTAGCTGATGACTTAAAATATAGCTATTGACCTTTTGCCAGGAAGAAAAATACAAGTTTCATTTGAGTGAAATTTAATGTAAGATAGCTATGGATTCTGAGAATTTGTGAAAGACATTCATAATAATAAAGCTTTTATTTGCTCTGGAGAAAATAATCCTTTGGTGTGATGTTTATTGTCTTTTCATTTCAGTTGTGGTTTAAGCCAAGGCAAAATGCTCCGCCCAAAACGCTTCTTCAGTTAAACAGACCCTGTCTCCTTTAAATTGCATTCTGTCTGAAATGGACTAGGTCACATGTAATAAATTCTGGCATTTTAATGGAAACATTGCAGCAAAAATAGTTAACAATCTGCTTTAATTTCAAAACCAATTTTCCCCTTCATACAGTAAGGCAGTATCTTGGTAAATTGTGCAAAAAGCATTAGGATTTAATTATGGTGGCAATTTGTTCTGAAGCAAGGTTAAGTGGGCTGTCAGTATTCTGGATAAAGGTGTTGGGGGCTTGGGGGCGGGGGGCAGGGGGTGGGTGGAGAGTAGTGGCTTGGTGTTCCTGGGCCCTGGTTAACATGTGGACCCCAGTGGCAACAGAAGCCCTGGGCGCAGGAGCTGCTGACGGTCTGGATCTGTGGGAGGCTGGATCCTCCTGGGAGCGTAGAAAGAGCCCGTACACACCAGCGGGCCCATCCCCACGTGAGCACTGATAGACAAGGAAACGCTCTGGGACTCTTTTCTTCACGTCTCTCCACTGGACCCAATTCATTCGTTAACTTATTCCTGCAACAATGTTTGAATCCTATTGTGCAGGTGCTGGAGATACAAAGGTGAGCAAAAGTAAGCAGGATTCCTATCTCAGGAAGATTGTAGGCTAATGAGAGAGAAATACATTCCTCCAAGGAGGATACAAATATCTGTGCAAAGACAACTGTGCCGGGGACACTGACGGAGGGGTCCCCGGTGCCAGGAGAATGTGTGGGGGCAGCCCGTGTGGTGCGGGCAGCGGTGAAGGCAGCCAGCGAAGGCTCTTCCTGGGCGGGTCCGAGTCTGTGCTTTCTCTGTCTTCCTGGGAAATGTATAGAAGAGATTATAATGAAAGCTATCCCTGTCATTAGCACCATTGACGTATCCTTCTCCAGTGTGAATTTTATAACCCAAATCAACCCAAGCTAGTAATGGAGTCTTAAAACCTAGGAAAAATATGTAAGTTTATTGCAAAAGATAATATCCCATTTAAAACAGTTTAGAAATTTACAAAACCTTACATTATACATAGTTTTTAAGAAGGTGCTCTACAGATGAGCTGGTATTAAGTTCCAAGTATAGTGAATACACATTTTCCTTAACTACAGAGAAAGCAGCTACATAAACTCCTGCAACTTAAGTTGATGTATCAGTCTTTTTTCCTTCCATTCTATAAAAGTAATTTTTGCTAAATTAATCTCTCTCCATAAAACCATATAACCTCAAGTACAGCGTTTGTGTAGATTATCATGGTAGATGTTACATAATATTTTACAAAGAAGTGATTTTCACATGAGTAGATAGGGATAGAATTTTGGCATATGTATGATATATGGGGTTTGCTTTGTTTTTTAAACAGAGATGATCATTTTCATTAGCAGGAAGGTATTTACCGAATCCCTTTCCCTCATAACGATTTTAAATACTCAGTTTCCAGAAGAGCTTTCCTTCCCAGTTTCAGGTTGGTGGCCTGAGCAATGCTGTGTTGTGCTTTGGTATAGAATCAGTACAGTCTCATTTGGTTGTATTTCTAAAAATGGCAACATTTTCTACCCTATTTCATTTTTCAGTTGAGGGCTTATCTGAGGCCCCCAACTCAACATAAAGGTATAAAAACATGCGCTTTTTAGTTACCCAAGGATTGGGTTATACTTTCTTTGAGAGTGACCTCAAATGCCTTTTCATTGTTCTAGACTAACTTTGGCAAACGGTCCAGCTCTGCCCTGGGTCATTCTGCTCACTTGATGTAGGACCATGTACAGAGCTTATAAAGCAGGTAGGGTCGGTGTTTATGTCTCCATTTGAGAATGGACAGACCGGCCCTGAAAACGTAAACGATTTGTCAAAGGATAGTGGACTCGGCCCTTCTGTTGCCTGGGTCTCTTAATTCCCAGAACAGAGTTGTTTTCATTCTAGCATGCTGCCCAGGAATATAAATTAATTTGAAAATTAGTGTAAGCAAAGCAAATTAAGATGGAAGCTCTACTATAAGATCAAATTACATAAGAGATCCCACATGATTTTGCCTTATTGGATTATCCTCTGTGCTGTTCTTTTCCATTGTTGGGGCCAACTGAGAGTGGATTGTGTGGGTACAGAAAGACCTGTGGCTTTTAGCCAGTGGTAGCATATCTTATGAAATGTGGCTTCCTAAGTATGACAAGTGTATTCATCTTAATTCCAACTTAACATTATGGATGCCAATCTCATTTTGTGGGTTTAAACATTACACTAGAAACAGAACAAGAGCATCTCGAATGACATTCCAAGACTTAAATAGCGCAAGCTGAGATTCCTTGCCAAGTTCCCCTCTCGCTCTCACCGAAATAGCTTCTGCACTGCAGCACTGTGGCAGGGCGGAGGCCACTGGCAGGGGGTTTGCCCAGTTCCTCTCCCTTTGCAGTGGGCTACGTTCACCCCACGTTCACACAGGATGCTATACCCTGCATGCTCTAACTCAGACAGCTGATCGGGACCTGAGGGGGTCATGAAACGCCTTCCTCGTTGAATGCCATGTTGAGTTTAGGATCCCTTTTCTAATCAGCATCCATCCAACCACAGGCCGGTAGGGAATTTAACGTGGACTCTGAGCCTTGCCAACCCACCCCTCGTCCCCAAGAGTATGTAGCGATTACTTCATTATATTATGTTAATAGTTTGTTCAGCCATGCAAGCGTGACTGGGCCCACATGTACAGGGGTCATGTCAGAATAATGAGCCCGACTTTAAAAGAATTCAGAATTTGGGAAGGAAATGTCTTTAATACTAAAATGGAAAAAAAATTTGTCCTTATCCCTAGTCCTGCTGCTGCTTCAATCAAGTGACCATTGCCTGGCCACCAGGAAGGGAGATTCTGTAGATTAATATACTTTTGAACCTATCTACAAAAGTACTGTGGGGGTGAAATGAATGAGAATCCGTGTCATGTTTTATCTCAGTCTCATTTATGTTACTGGTAAGATGAAACGGACAGACAGGATGCTGGATCTCATCATCTTAAATGCTGCAGGGAAATTAATGGTGGAAATGTCACCCCAATAAATTCAATAAAAAAAAAATTAACCATGGGATCTTAAAATTCAAACCGCAACCAGGTCCTACCCATTTGCCAGGCAGCCGCTGGCTGCAGGCAGAGAAGCAGGATGATCTAAGGTGGGCCCCGGAGATACGCCTGCAGGAGAGCCACTCCTAGTTCCTTGTCCCCTGCGGTGACCTGACTCTGCCACAGATTGGAAGGCCAGGCAGCATGAGATGACAGGGCATTGGTTTGGGATCAAGGGGCTAATTCAAAATGGAAATGACCCAACCCACCAGGCCGTCTTGCATTTCTACGCCCGGCCCATTTCTGTGGTGCTCATGTGCCTCCCCATATCTTAGAAAACTGCCAGTGTGTGCATCGTATCTCTTCCACTGTCTCTGTTCATAGCCCTCCTCTATCTTTCTGCCTTGCACAGCATTTCTCTTTTTTTTTTTTCTTTTGGGATGATGAACCAAGGATGAGAAGGAAGCGCTTAGCATCCTGGAGGTGTAGGGAAGTCAAGGGGGGCTTTGCTCATGGTGGGCATCTGGGCTTCGCACCCCAGGATGTGGCCTGGTGGTGTGTGATGGGGAACTGGGCAAGGGGTCGCTCTGGGGTCCGTGCAGTCCTCAGCAAGCAGCGGCACTCGCTCAGGTGAGGTTGGTGGTCGGGGGTCCAGCAGCGGCCAGGCCAGCCCTGGGTCTTCCCCGTTTCGCAGGTGGAGTGGCTCACAGCCTGGGGCCTTTGCTCAGCAGCAGGGAAGGCCTACAGGCAGCAGCCCCCCCCCTCCTCGGGGAGGTATTTGGGGAGGGCACAGGGCATGGTCCCAACAAGCTAGATCCACCAGAAGCATTTCTTCTTCACCTTCTTAGTTTTCCGCCTTAAATCCTGCTTCTCAGAAACAGGGGGTTCTGCCGGGGACTTTGGTGGGGGAGAGGGCTCTTCGGCTGGTGCCGCCTCCTCCAGATTCTGCAGCACTTCGTGGAACCTGCCTTCTTGCTGCCGAAAATCATATTCTACACTGAAAAACACAGAGAAAAGAAGGAAAGTAAATCCCAATCAGCACATCCTGATTCAGCATCACCAAAGGCCCAACTGATATGGAAGAGCATACGCTTTGACACCTACTCCCAGATGTTCAGACACCTGCTGGCTGTGTGACCTTGGAAAAAGTGTACCCCCTCTCGGAACCTCCGGCTCCTCATTGAATTGGCACCTGTGACTCCTTCCTGTTGGGGGCGCTCTGAAATGTCAGCGAGGCGTGCAATGTGGCAGACTGACAGCAGGGGCTCGGGCAACGTCGCTCCAGCCTGCCTCACCCTTGGTTCAAGCTCCTAGTTCTTAATATTTTTTACACATGTTATGCACGAAAACTGCCTCATTATAAAAGATGTAAATAATACTGAGACAACAAAACTGACGCCTTAGTTTCCTCATCTATAAAATGGACAACATAATAGCATATGTCTCAGGGGCTTCCTTTGGAATGAGTATGTATATTAAGTGAGAGACTCTAAAGGAATCCTTGGAGCTGTGCCTGGCATGGAGGAGGCCCTCCACCTGTGTTCGTTAGCTCCCATTGCTGCTGTTATTACCGTCAGCATTGTTCCTGCTAATATATTGTGTCTTGCCTTTGTCTTGCTTCTCAACCTAATATATCTTGGATTGCTTTTCACATGCCCTTACCTCCGAGCAGTCCTCAGTACAGACACATTTACACACACTCCTGTGATGGGTACTTCCTAATCTCCTTTTTGCTATTTTATTTGTGTTTTGGAGTCGTTCCTGTACAGACTCCATTGCATGGTCCGTACACTGGTCTGTGAGGTGTACAGGACTTGTCATCGGGGACCGGGATCCCCAGGCATTCAGAGATCCGGACGGCAGAGTACAGAGGCTCCGGTCTGCACAGTGCGTGCTCGCGCCCCCAACCTCTGAGGGCTCGGGAATCAAGCAGGCAGCCTCAGGGACTGTCAGCCTGCCCCCTTCCTCTGGCTCCGCCCTCCCAGCACCTGCAGAGCTGAGCCAGACAGAATGGCTCTTGCCTGCGGGCTGTGGCGGGCTCTCTCTGCCCTGAGTTGTCCCTTCCCCTCCCCAGGACATTTACTTTGGGAGGCGTTCTTGTGCAGGATACTTGCAGGGAGATGCTGAAGGTTCCAGCTGTGTGTTCCCTGGTCTCACACCAGGGCTCTCAGATGGCCAAAGACGGGGAGCACAGCGTAGGCTTGTGGAAGGAATGCGGCCATGAAAGCAGCGCGTTCTCCTTGTGTAGCAAGGAAGAAATGAAACGTTTCCTGTGCGAGATGGAAGACGCCACGCTGCGGTGTGGTGTGGTGTGGCATGACTGGCCGAAGCCTTTCTTCCCAGCAAGGGCTGAAAGGAGTTGGCATTAAAGGGGCAGTTGTTCTTGTCTACTGTCACTATGTCACTTCCCAGAGACCCAGGGTCAGACTGAGGGCTGCTGAAAAGGTGAATTGTGATTGCCACGCAACTAATGAAGGCCCCAGACGGTGCCTGTCACCCGGCCTCCTGCAATAGAGGCAGCTAAAAAGACCGATGGCGTCAGTGCTTAGGGATGTCGGGCAGGAGTGTCTGATTATTTTGTTCTCGGCTTACGTCCTTTTACTCTCTGTTCCTCCCTGGTCCCCTCTACAGGGACATGTTCCTAGCTGGGTGACCTATATAGCAGATGAAACACAGGCTGTGATTTTTAAAGCCAAGCTCCACAACTGATTAGCTGTGAGGTCTTGGGGAAGTCAGTTTTCATTTTCAAGCCACAGCGTTCTCACCTGTAGAATGGGCACGGTGCTGACTCATAGGATTCTCAGTGAGCTTAAATGACATAATGCACATGCCAATGCTCAGCTCAGAGCTGGACGCCACGTATTCAGCCAGTCATTCACCAACCATTCAACCATCTCTCATGTGCCAGGCCCTGGGCTAGGTGCAGGGGGAGGAGTGGTAGACAGACAGGCAGGCATTATCCTGGCCTCCTGGCACTGGCAGCCCCGTGGCTCTCTGTCCTCAGTAAATGCCAGCCAACACCAAGAGCTTTTGGGACCTTCCAGCCAAAGCCCAGCATTTGCCAGGTCAGTAACCTTCATCCTGGACCGCCAGAGGGAGTCAAAGGAAGCGGGTGCCCCGTGCTCATTCTAGGAATTTCCTGTGCTGCTCTCTGCTATACAACATCCCATCTATCCTCCATCCATCTGTCCATCTGTCCATCCATCCATCCATTCACCCAGCTCATGGCTTCACATTGTGCTCAGCTGAGGGACACAATAGTAAGACAGACAGACAGACATGCATACTGCTCTTGTAGATCTTACTTCTCAGTGTATGAGACGGATGACTAAACTAACAACTGCTTTAAAAATAAACTTTGTATTTATCTCCACTACCCCACTTTCCAGCTCCTCATCCATACACCTCTAACAAATTATATGAACATACGCAAAACCCAACTTCCTTTTTCTCCTTGTGTGTGACATTTCTCTGATTTCATAATTCGAACAAACAAACAACAACAAATCACCTGGGTCTGTCAAGACTCAACAACAGTGTCCTAAGACCAATTAGGAATAGCAGTGCTGTGGGTGAATCCAGAATGTACAGAACTGGCAGGCCTGGGGGGCGCGGAGCCAGGAGGCAGCATGAAACTGTCTCATCATCACAATGCAAAGTGCAGCCCAGTATAGAGGGAGCACAGAGCAAGGGCACTGAGTGGAACGCTCCTGGGTTTGAACCGAGGCTGCACCTCTCACTGGCTGGGTGAGCTTGGGCAAGCTGCTTCTCTTCCTGAGACTCGGCTGAGAACAGGGGTTACAAAGCTCTCTCACTGAGTAGTTGTGCAGATGGGACACAATGACAGGTCAAATGTCCTCACATACGGTTAGGTCTCTGCCTGCTGCACTGTCCTCTGAGTCTTTTGTCTTCCTGTCTTAGGGGCTGAATGTCTCACCCCCTCACTCATACATTAAGCTCTTGCCAGCAACATCACTCTTCACCCATTCCCCCTACCCATGTACATTTAGGAAAGAATACACTCTACGTTTCTATGGAAACGCCACAGGGTTCCATTATGATCCCCCCACCCCTCTTGCAACTGCCCCCACTGATCTCAGCAATTGAAAAGGGATTGAAAGTGACTTTCTTTTCAAGGCCAGGCAAAAAAGCAGAGTATAGAAAAGTGTGTGCACTTAGGAAAGAAATTGATTAATGTTTTTTAGGCCAAAGCAATTTATTAACATAAAGGAAAATTGTCACTTTCCTTCTTACTCTTCCATTTGACAAACTACTGTTTAGTTTGGAGGAGAGGAGAGGGAGTCTATGTTGTTTGGGTATTAGCTGCCTTATAAATGGGCAGGGGACAGTGTGCTCTCTCATCTCGAAGCCGGGTGCAGAAAAGAAGATACCCCTCCACTTCCTTCGTAGCAGACCCACACCCTCTTCAGCAACCTCTTGAAAAAGGGAATAAATTGTCTACTTGGTGAGAATTCAAGGAGAGGGTAGTTTGTAGATTCTGGGGGATGGCTGTCTGCCTTGGGTTCGGTATCAAGGTGAACAGCGGTAGCTTTTGGAACCCCCCTCCCCTCTTTCTTCTCCCTCTGAGTCTTCCTCCCCTCCCCCCTCGCCATCTCCTGCCACCCATGTTCCCTATGGATGGAGAGGAGTACTGAGGGCTTGGTCTGTGGAGCCCTGGCTCCCGGTGGGGGCAGGAAATTGTTCCAATACAGGATTTGGGCCCAAAGCCACTGAGATACTGTGTAGCATTCAAGGTCCCTCAGGAACAGCTGACAGCCTGGCTCACAGCTGCCCCATTCATTGTCCAAGGGAGCCCGAGAGCCCTGGCCATCTGAGCCACCTGTGCATAGTGCCCCGCGGCCTTTGGAAAGTGGGCTGCCTGTAAACCACGAAAGGAGGGCTCGCAGGGGCCCTCTCAAAAGAACCTCCCTGATCTAGCCGACAGGTCGGGGCTGCAGCCATGGTGCCAGGTGAGGAGGAAAAGGCTCTTGTTCCAGGTGACTGGAAGCAGCGGGGAGCCTAAGTCATGGCTTGTCTGGGTGAAGAAACCGTGAGGCTCAAGAAGTAGGTAAATACACCTGTGCACAAGCCACGAGCAGAGCCTGCAGTGGGAGGCAGCAGCTTGGCTGGGCAGACCGATGGGCCATGCCCAGGAGAGAGAAGACTTTATATAGAAACAAGTGAATGCTAGAAGCCCCTTACTTTCCTATAGCACTTTCAAACTGCAGACCCTTCTGATCTGTGTCTTTATTCTATCCTCATGATGGCCCGGGAAGATGGGAAGGTTGTCACCACGTTTAACTGACAAACACAGCGGAGAGAAGTCACACTGTGAGTTATGATCAGAATTTAGCCCAGTTTCTAGACTTTTAGTGCTTTTTTTCCTAAAGAGGGATTCAGTGTTGCAGCCCCGGGCCTGGCTATAACCAGAGACTTATTCTAAGAAGAGGAAACAACAAAAGGATACCTGGATCCTGTTCGGTGAGGACGCATGGCAATTTAAATGAATAATAATAATAATTAGAAGATGGGAAGGGGGAAGAGGGAAGAAGAGGAGGAGGAGGAGGAGGGAGACTGTCATTCATGGAGTGAAATCTACATTGTAGACACTGTACCACAAGCTTAGTAATTCTCACTTGTCTCATGTAATCCTCACGGCCCCGTTAGGCAGGTATTGTGTTTGTTCCATAAATGAGGAAACCGAGGCAAGGGCAGGTAAAGGGCACACACACGAATAAGAGATGGGGCCAGGGTATGAGCCTAGACTGCCTGGCTCCACAGGTGCTGCACTCAGTGGACTGTGCTGAAGAACACAGTCACCTTTGCCCATGTGAGATCCTGGCCGCCTAATGTGAGTGGGCTGGACCCTGAGGTGGTGGTGACTAAGGCCTGGTGCACCTAAATGACCGCCCAGCCCCCTGTAGAACCTGACCCCACGTGGAGCAGGCTGCATGGAGGACCCTTTATGACCCAGCAGACCAGCCCACCCACAGTAAT